AAGAAAACACACAGGGAACAGGCCCCTTGGGAAGGGCTTCCTTGTCCTTTTGAAGCAGCTCTGTTCCACTGGGGGCAGCCTCAGACTCGGGTCATTAAGCACAAGTTCCAGGCACAACACGGAGAGAAGGTGATCCAAACTCAGGCGACAGCTTTCCAGAAAAGACACCACACCAAGAGTGGTCTGGAAGAAACCAAGATGACCACTATTAACAGGAAATTAACTTTATTTTTTAAATCCCAAGGGCCAGAACAAATGATGAGACTCCTACCGTTGGCCGGTGTATTCACGTGGCCAACAGGCCTAGGGGAAAGAGAATGACAGCAGGGGCAGGTAGGAACACGTCCCAACAAAACAGGTGGCCTCTTCACTCTGGTGCAGCCTCCATCAAATACCCGTTCTCTGGAGCCAGGTACCCGTCGCCTGCCTCAGACTCCATGTACATGTCTCGGCCATCGTTGCCCAGACCCTCCAGCCCGTTGTCCTGGCCGCTGCCACCCCCCCCACCTCGAGCCTCATCCCTGCCCCGCTCACTACCCCGCTCCCCCCGCTTGTGCTCTCGATCCCGGTCACGATCGCGATCCCGGCGCCGTTCCCGCTCGCTCCGGTGGCTCCGACGTCGTTCCCGGTCACGATCCCTGCCCTTCTCCTCTGGACCATCGGGACCATCAGGACCTAGCTCCCCAGGAGGCCCATCATCAGGAGGTGCGTCACCGGCTTCAGATGGCTCCGCAATGTCACCACCACCTCCACCACCGCGCAGCTCCTCCTTGCGCTCCCGCTCCCGCCGTGCCCTCTCGCGGCTCCGGCTGCTTCGCCGCTTCCGTTCCCGGTCCTTGTCCTTGCTGCGCTCCCTGGAGCGCCGCCGTTCCTCTTTGTCACGACTCCGTGAGCGCCGCCGCCGGTCCCGAGAGCGGGAGCGGCGTCGTTCCCGTTCCTTGTCTCGCTCGCGGCTCCGCTCTCTGCGCTCCCGCTCGCGGTCCCGGTCCCGGTCCCTGTGGGGAAGCGGGGAGGGGCCGGGCCTGGATGAGGTGGGCAGAGGTTTGTGGCAGGGTTCCCCCATGTCACCACCCCCCGTCCCAGGAAACCGGGAGCAAATTCTTACCTCTCATCGTAGCGGGACGTGTCGTCGCGGCCCGAGTGCCTGATGTTCACGTCGGCCCCGCCTCTTCTGGTACCACCTAGGCCACCTCCTGGGGAGGGGTGTGAGAAGAGGGTCAGTTTGGGCAAGGGCAGGGCACTGAGGGATGTCCTCGAGCAAAGGGCAGAAGCCAGCCAGCGCTACTGGGAGTCTTTGGAAGTCACGTCATGTGACAATCATCTCGCGTGGACCCTTCTAAGGTGACCACAGATAGAGAGTAAATGACTCACAAAGGACCCAACCATAATGAGGATCTACGTCAGACTCCAAAACTCAAATCCGTAATTGCTGTCTCCTCAAATAAAAGAAGGGAAAAGGCATACGACGTAGTGCAACCAAGCACTTTGCCATGACTAGGTGCGGTGAGCACTTTATGCACTTAATTCCACCACTTCCGAGTTGCCTCCGCCTCCCACAGCCCTGGAGCCAGTCACTCTCCTCCTCCGGCAGAAGATGTGGTCTGCTTAAGAACCCCTGAACTTCCCACCACTGTCCCCAAGTCCAAACCCGACTCACTGGCTTCAAGAGCCAGCCCGGCTCATCCTTCCAACCACAAAGGCCCTTGGCTCCGTCTGTCCCAGGCACTTTTCTATCTCCTCGCTCTCCCCACCTCCCTCAGGCCAGTGCTCGTGCACCATCCCCCTCCTCTGGAAGGATCCTCCAGCATCCTGTGCACTTGGCTCCAACTCGCCCGGCACAAGTAGCACAAACACCTCTTCCTCCACAGAAAGCCTCCTTTTATCTACCAGACCAGGTCCAATCCTCCTCACATCCTCCCCATACCAAGCTGCTCCTTCCCAGAACTCACTGGGGCTACAACTTTTACAACTCTCTAGAGGTGATGGGTACTAACACACCAGAGAAGCAGGACTGTGTCTGGTTTTGCTCACTGTCACCAGCACATGCCACAGCGTCTCACATGTAAAGGGGTATGTGCTTTTGTCACGTAACTCACTGAACAACCCTAAGGGAAAGGTGACATTGGCCTCGTTCAGAGAAAGCAAGGCGCTTTGGTGAGGAAGGTGCAGAGCTGGGCTGCCCACCTCCGGACCCAAACTGCACTGTAGCTCCTTCTGGGAATAAAGCACAGGGAGGCGGAGCAGAGCTCCACGTGAGGGATGACTGCCAACAGTGAGGGTGAGAAAGCAGAAGCTGCCTGGACAGCAGTGACCAGTCAAAAACCAAACCCACTGCCATGGTGGAGTCGATTCCGACTCACAGCGCCCTTAGAGAACAGAATGGAACCGCACCAGAGGGTTTCTAAGGCTGTCACTCTTTATGGAACCAAAGCCCAAACCAAACCCACGGCCATGGAGTTGATTCCGACCCACACCGCCCCTAGAGGACAGAGTGGAACTGCACCATAGGGTTTCCAATCTCCACAGAGCTGACTGCCAAGCTACTTGCCACATCTTTCTCCCAAGGAGTGGCTGGTGTGTTCAACTCACCAACCTTCTGGTTCGTAGCCAAGGGCTTAACCACCACACCATCAGGGCTCCTTACTGTAAGGGTTACAGACTAGAAAACCCTATGCAGTTCTATCCTGTCCTGTCACACAGGGTGGTCTTGAGTCAAAACTAACTCGACAGCACACAGCGAACAGGCCAGACATCTGGAATGTCACAGGTGTTAAGACAAACCAGTGTTTCCAATTTTCAGGTCAAAATCCATCAATGGTTAAGGTCATCGATTTAGTGGGTAACAACTAAACACACTAAAAACAAAAACAGCAGAAAGTAAGGTGTTGGTACGGACTGCACACAAAAGATCCCTGATCTCGTAACCTTCTGGTTCCGTACGCTCCTATGTGAGCGCTGGTCAAGCTTCACTGGGCATAAGCAAAGGTCTCACCTGTGAACGTGGAGGATGTATCCACGAATAGTTTGAAAGCTAATCAAACTAGAGCATTCTGGAACTCTAGTCTGCTGCCACCATCAGAACATTGCTGTTGCTGCCTGACTCATGGTGATCCCAGCACAATGGGACAAAATGCTGTCTGGCCACTCCCATGACTGGCTGTGGATCAGACTGCTGTGATTTGGAGGCTTTTCACTAGCTGATTTCAGAAGCAGACCACCACGTCTCTCTTCCTAGTCCTAGTCTGGATACTCTGCTGAAGCCTGCTCACCATCACCATCACAGAGAGCCTCGGCATGAGGTGAACCGGCTGGGGGTCCAACATGGGTCTCCAGCATGGAAGGCATGAATTCCAGCACTACCACTGCCTCCAACGGACAGCAGCAGACTCTTAAAAACCCACCTCAATGATGGAAAAGTGTGGGAATGGATAAGGATGATGGTCGAATAACATAAGCACAAGCTAACATCACTGAATCACACACATGAATACAGGGGAAATGCCAAATGTTTTGTTACATACGTATTTACTATGAGAAAGCTTTAAAAAGTATTCCCATCACCCCAGAGAAGTCAACAAGAACAACACAAACGTATTTCTGAAGTTCAGAGACGCAGACTGAGCGTGTCAGGGACCCAGCACAGGGAAACCAAGAGTGAGGATGGAGGGCTGAAGCGGGAGCAAGAGCTGAGCGTGGGGCCATCATCTAAGAGACCTGCCACCGCCCTCACAGGAGGAGACCCTCCGCGGGCACGTGTGGATGATGGGGCCCAGCTTCAGGCCCCAGCCCCATGCTGAGCACCCCTAGAACTCAGGGGAAGAACAGCCAGGGCTGGGCATAAGGCAGGGAGCTCCGTGGAAAGCCACACAAAGCAGCATAAGGCAGATGCAGAAGCAGCTCCCCCAGACAGTGAGCATGGCACAGGGTGGTGGCCCAGCTGTGAAGCACTTCACGAGCAAGCTGAGTAGGACTTTGGGCGCCAAGACGCCCGCGATTCTTAGTCAGCAAGTCCCATTTATGCTGCAGGAAGCTCAAATCTGTTTCTGATGTTTATAGCCTTGCTGGCCTTGGCTGAAAACAGCGAATGGTGATTTGAGACGGCTGGTAAGAAATGAAGGTAGGAGGCTGAGAACGAGGCTCCCGAGGTTCCATCAATGAACGAATCGATGAGCATGACACCAACAGGCCCTAACACGCCCCGCTCCTGGCTGGGCCTCAGTGGACCCTCTGAGCGACCCCCACTTTCTGAGAGAAGTGTGAGGCAGGACAGGGAAAGCCAGGTTGTGAGCAGCCGAGTCCGCACGTACGCCGGGCAGAACACTCCAGGCCAGCGCTAGTCAGCCACCCCAGAGGAGCCCAGCGCCAGGAACATGACCGTGATGAGGTGACTGACAAGAAAGAGGAAGGGCGTGTGAGCAGCCAGAGAGAGGGAGAAATGGAAACCAGAAAGGCAGAGAGCAGGAGCAGGAGAGGCAGCACTGAGGCCTGCGGGATGGGATTCGCTCACCCAGCCTCCGGGGCCGCCAGCCCTTCACAGTCCGGCCCCTCTCCACGTCCACGAGGACCCTCCTGCCATCAATCTTCTTGCCGTCTGCGTGCTTGTAAGCGGCTGCAACAGATGTGGGGAGGGAGGGGAGGGGAAGGAGTCCCCAGAGGGTCCTCTAGTCAGGACAGGGCCCCCCACTCCACCACATCCCCACCCTGTCCCCATCAGTGCACACACACATACACGCACACACACCCACCAGTCAGTCAGGCACCTGACAACCAGACAACCCTCTCCCAGCCTGGTGAGGGGCCTGCTCCGTCTCAACACTTCCTCTTCATCAGCCCTCAATCAGTATTGAGGGGTCGGACCGCCACTCCCAAGCCCAGCCCCCTGGCCTGCCGCCCTCCCAACTCCTGTGACAGAGCAGCCCCCTGCTGCAGGGCGGCCAAAGTAGCTGCAAAGAAACTGGAGGTTAACTTAATGCTGGACTCTGTGTGGGGCCCCCACGGGGCTCCTCCACACCCCAGGCATGCACCCTAACATCATGCTGGGGCAGGAGGCTAGCGGCGCTCCACACCCCAGCTACCACGGTTCTCTCGTTGTTTCTGGGGGAGGGTTAGCCCGGGTAATGAGAACAGACAGCGGAACAGAAAGTGAACCAGAGGGAGTAGGAGATGTCCTCCCAATGGCAGGGAGCAGACAGGTGGCTAAGGCGCTCCTGGGGGGCCGGGAGGGGCCCCCACAGGAGGCACACAGGGAGGAGGCCTGGGAAACGTGCTTGCAGCTACAACTCCTGCCTTACCTGCAACAACGGACCCCGCCCCCCCCTCCTCTCTCCCTCCACCCCCCAGCTCAGTGTATGCTGGGAGTGAACCCCGCCTGAGCACCTCAGGTGGTGGGGGGTAGAGGAGGAGATGAGGCAAGAGGCCAATGCCTGCTCTTGGGGAAGGGGCCTCGGACCCCAGCCTACAGACACATGGGCATCCAGAAGGCCCAACAAATGCTTGCTTCCCACCCCTACGCCCTGGCTGGGGGGGGGGGGTAGGTCCTCAACCAACCACGAAACCCTGCCCCACCCCAGCCCGCTCCCCCCATAACAACCAGAGGAAGAGAAAAAGGTGCCATTTACCGATGCCAGCCTTGCGGGTGTCCAAACCGAGCGGGGTGGGGGGGGCTCGGCAACTCCTGGGGGCCTGGCGAGGAGGCGGACTTCCCGGGGGGACACGGGACCGCTTACCTGGAGCCCCCAAGCTTACCTGAGCACGCGCATAGACCCCCACACCCACCACCATGAGGTCAGCTAAAGCTACAGGGAGGGGAAGTGGGGGCTCCAAGGAGCCAGGGAGAAAGGAGGACAGCCCCACTCCTGCAGCACCCAGAGACGGGCGGAGGAGGTAGTGGACCCCAGAGAAGAACTGGGGCAAGGCCTCACACTAGGGCCGGGAGCTGGGCAGCCCTGGGACTACCCTGCTGCACTTAGGCCTCAGAAAAGCTGCCAGCCCTCACCTGCCCCAGCCACGTCCCAGCTGCACTAGGCACACGTCCCACCCCTTCATGTGGGATGATTCTCCCCCCGCACTTCACACTCCCTCCCCCTCCAGCCGCCTCAGCCTGAGGCTGGCACATGGGGAGAGGGGGACTTGGGTGCTACTTGAGGATGGGCAGGAGGGGCCACCTGGGCCCTGAGCCCAGAGGAGAAGGCTGGAGAAGCCAAGGAAACCTGTTCTGGTTTGTGTCCCGAATCCCAGAAGAGGCCCAACCCAGGAGTAACAACCAAGGAAAACGGGGGTGTGCGCTTCTAGGTCTCTCTCTCTCTCTCGCTTTCCCTCGCTAAGTCTCTAGACAGTGGAAGGCTCTTAGATCAAAGTCCACAGCACCTCAGCTGCTTGTAGCCTACCTCCTGGCCCCCCCACGCCCCACTCAAGTCCATGCACCTCAGGCAGCGGCCAGGCACCACTGCCAGCCCCTTGGGAGGCCTGGACAATAAGGAAGACAGGAAGAGGGCCCCAAACTCGGAACGTCCAAACATTCTTGGGGCCCCCAGTGACAGCCCCACAGAAGGCCTAGGGGCAGGAGAGAAGGGCTGGAGGGCTCCACACAGAGCCCTGGCCCCCCGTTTCACAGTACCCCATGAGGAAGCCGGACAGGTAAGGGGTAGGGTGAAGCCCAACAGGAGCAGCCAACACCTCTCCCGTCAGGGTTCACCCTGCCCACTTGGGACCGGCGCGACTTGTCGGAGAGCATGTGGATCTGGGGGCAGGAGGGGCCGAGGGCACCCAAAGGAGGAAGGGCTCTGGGTGCGGGGAGTTGCGGGGCGGCTGGGGAGGGAGGCCTCGCTGCTCCTGAGCTGCCTGGCTAAGCTGGGCTGGTGTGCAGTGCTGAGTGATCTTACCCATGATACAAACCCTTATACCAACCATACACTGAGGTGTTGTAAGGGGAGCGTAAGCATCAGCTGCAAGCCAGCTGCGTGGTGGCTGCAGTGACAATAAGAACAGTCAATTAATACGGCGGCCCCTGGACACGCCGCAGCCCTGCCCGCCCCCGCCCGTCCCTGCCCCTGTGGATGCTGCCACAGCCTCAAAGCGGGCTCTGCAGATGTGGGGGCAGGCACTGAGGACGCCCACCATCCCACTGCCCGCTGAGGAACAGGGTGGGGGCCAGGAGAGGTGGAGGGTCGGGTGGCCCAGCCCCAGCTCTGCTGGGAGGAAAGGAGGGTAGGTTCAAAGGCCAACCCTCATTCCAACCTGGCCGCCCCCAACTCTGGTGGTGCGGAATAATGGGGAGATGGCTCCCTGAAAATCCGACCCCTCTCCCCACCTCCATCTCACCCCAGCCCCCATCCAGTTCCCTCCGTGCCCCTGAGTTTCAACGTGTGACACTTACCTCCCCAGGTTCACACGCGCGCACACACACACACACACACGTTGTGGGGTTTTTTGGTTTTTGATTTTTAAAAAACACGTGTATATATATTAAAAAAAAAAAAAAGACAAATATATCAGAAACAGGGAAGAGGAGGAGAGACTGCTCAGGGAGGCGGGCAGGGCGGGGGCGCGGGGACAGGGGCAGGCCGCGGAACTCACAGTGCATGTCCCGTTCATGCTCATACTCGATGAAGGCGTAGCCGCGAGGCTTCCCCGACCGCTTGCTATAGACCATGTGTATCTGTGGGAAGGGAGCAGGCCTGCCCTGAGCCTTTGACCAGGGAGTCCCAGGCCATCGGTGACACGGCCACAGGCCAGAGCCAGAGATGCCTCCGCACCCCCCCCAGCTGAGTGATTTAGGCACTAACGGTGGCAGTAAAGGCAGAAAGGCATCCACCCCAGCTCAGAGTGTCAGAAGCTTCCTGGAGGGAACGACACTCACACCAAGACTCAAAGACAAACAAGCAGACAAAAGAACTGCCAGGTGGACAACTGAAGCAGCGGTGACTCATAACAGCCAAAATCCTGAGGGAGCAGGGCTGGAGGCCAGAGTCCCAGTCCACGCTGCATGGCCTCTGGGGGGAAGAGAAGTGTTTCAACAAAGGAAGGGCCACTGCGGGAAGCACCTGCCGAGTATCAGGGGAGACGGAGTCATGGGAACAGCGGAGGGAGGTTGAGGGCCAACAGGGAATGGCAAAGGGTAAAGGCCAGGAAGAAAGGGCATAACCAGAAACGGAACACAGCAGGTGCCACGCCAGGGAGGCTCCCGAGTAGGGCCTATTCCAGGGACAAGTCCTCCCCACGGGGACACAGAAGGGGAAGACGGGCATGAGTGGAAATATGTAAGGCCAAAGAGGAGGAGGCCACGGGCCAGACAGCAGAGATCCTGGCCCACAAGGCTGCAGCCACCACACGTCCATGTAGGTGCTGGGAGCCACGGAGGCTGCACTAGGGGAGACTGGTCCCTGCAGAGTGTCCAATAAAAGCCCTCTAGGGCCAAATAAGGTGAGGATGAACCAGGAAAGGCCTCAGGGGGGTGACGGCTTTGAAGCTGGGCTCCAAAAGATAGCCAGCTCTCTAGTCCCACGATTACACCTCAGGAGTGACTGGCCTGTGCCGTAACTGGGCATGGACCCAGCAACCTCCAAGATCCAAGGGAGACTCCAAACTGACCCAAAGGGGGAGCAGAGGACACTCTGGGAACACATTTGGGCCAAGGCTCCAGTGGGAGCTGGGAGCTGGCAGAGGGGACTGGCACAAGTCCATGAAACTTCTGGCTCTGGACTTGGCAGCTTAAGTGCCCGACGACCTCAAACCCCATGACCACCAAAGGGGGGGAGGTGTTCTTCCCATTTGAGACGTGAAGAAAACAAGGACCAAAGCATGAAGGTAATTTTAAAGTCAAAGGAGCAAAGCCAGTTAAACAAGCTCAGATGAAGAAAAAGCGGGTATTTCCTGTAAAAGGCAGACAGCAGGCACCCTGCTGGGCTCTGCCAACTGGCAGTCTCCACTGAAACCACTCACCTCTTGCCTTAAAGGGCAAAAGCAGCCACCGACCACACAGACACAACAGCCACAGACACAAACAACCACACAGACACAAACAGCCACATAAATGACCACAGACACAAACAACCAACACACACACAATGACCACACAGACACAAACAGCCACACAGACACAAAGGACCACACAGACACAAATGGCCACACAGACACAAAGGAGCACACAGACACAAACGGCCACACAGACACAAAGGACCACATAAACACAAACAACCACACACACACAAAGGACCACACAGATACAAACAGCCACACAAATGACCACAGACACAAAGGACCACACGGACACAACAGCCACATAGACACAAACGGCCACACAGACCCAAAGGACCACAAAGACACAAACGACCACACAGACAAAACGGCCACACAGACACAAACGGCCCCACAGACACAAACGGTGTGGCTGTGCAACATCAGGCCTCTATGCACAAACACTGTATCCGTAGTGGGCTTCCCCTGCTCTAAGGCAACGGTCAGCAGCCAAGGGCTTCTACTTTCCCTTGCACTGCACAAGGTCTGTGGCACAGATGTGCAGGCAGGACTGAAACCCAGGCCAGGGGACCCCAAAGCCCTAGGAGGACAAAGTGTCCCCAGACCAGCAGCTCAGTCTTTTTCCCTGTCAGGGAATCCCTTCCCCACTCCCACACCCCCAGTGCAAGCACCCATGCCCCGGCCCACTCACTCTTTTGATGGGTCCATACACCTCAAATTCTCTCCGTAGCTTGGATTCTGTTGTGTCATAGTTCTGCAAGGAGAGTGACATAACAGCACATGGGCAATGGGCACCGTCTCAAGTCCCCACTGATGAGCCCCTGGAGCCAGCCTGCTTCTTTTAGTCCACAGGCCAGGTTTGCGGCAGATGGCCTCCAGGCGCCTCTGGGCTCCAGGGCGAGGGGTAGGGACTCACCACTCTCGCCACGAACAGTGTCTTGAAAGCATCACCCTGAGCATTGGGGTCATTGTGAGGGTCCCCTGTGTGGGAAGAGGAGAATCTGTGAATAGGTGGTATCCAGTGTTGGGTAGCAAGACACTTCCCTAGACAGACAGGCAGAGACAGAAAGTAAAGATGCCACTGGGGAGGGGCCCACCAAAACAAAAGCTTCAGGCCCCAAGCAGAGGAGAACGGTGGGTGACCTGAGCTGGTGGACTTCGTAAGAGCCCAGAGGATGATTCAGGGCAGGAGAGGAAAGGCCTAGGCCCCAGGCCTCACCAGTGTGAGGCCAACCTATCATTAACTACCATTAACCTAATAAGGACGGAGTCCCGCAGGGCAATGAGGGTGCTTTCTCAAGACAGGGCCCCACACTGCCACCCACTGGACACAGACGGCAATGACAGCCAGCAGGGACACCTGAGACCCAACAGCCATGAGGAAGGGTGGAGTGGGGAGCAAGGAGGTGCCTGGCTGTCCGCACCTTGCTCTCTTCCCTCTGCCCCATGGCCTCTGGGTAAGCCCAGGGCTGGTGCCCGAGCAAGCAAACTGAAGCCAGTGGGCATCAGATCAGATTCACACTCCCAGGTCTACAAGGAAATCAATTATGCCATCTGCCAATGAGGAGTAACACTCTCCCGAGAGAGGCCAGGAATCAAATGGAATCACATCCGTAAGTGAATCAGGTCAGGCCTGGTAGTAAGCCCCCGATGACACCTTTACTGTTAACGGGGATCCATCCCACAGCAGAGGGGACACATCTTTAATGGTATTTCTCCCATGCTATCGTGTTATCCCTCAAAAGAACTGTCAAATTCCAGAAGACTATGAGAAAAGCATTCTGGAATAAAATCTTAGTTATTAAATGGACCCTGTTCTGAATAGAATAGAATAAATTCCCCGAGAGGAGTAATTATTCTTTGGGCTGCAATAAGGAAGGTTGGGCAATCTACTTTCATAGTGATACTGCCTCAGACACTCAAGGAGGGGTCGTTATGAGTCGGGTCCAACTCAACTGCACGTAACAATAATGAGAAAAACAATATATGCTATGACCACACATTGTGGTGGGCGCTGCAAACTATTCATCATCAGCTTGCACATGAGAACTACCAGCTCCTGGAACACAGGAAGACACCTCTCAAAGCAGCCAAGCAGCCAGGCCGGGCTTTCCGTTGAGTCTGAGCTCGCAGTCCGTGCTCTCTCAGCTCGGGCTCCTACACTAAAGCCCTAGGCTACCAGCTGTGCAAAAAGAAACCCTGAGGTGCAAGAAGCCAGAGAAATAAAATCACTAACCCATTTCGTGTGAGATGGTTTGGCTACAAACCAGGGCTTCACACCAGTTCAAAATGGTTCAGCCACAAATGATGGAAACAAGGGCAGCATTCGTGACACAAAGCAACCCAATCTCATGCACGCTGAATTCTGAGCCGAGTGGGAAAGAGGCAGCGGTGCCCTGCTCTGCGACAGCAGCGAGCACGCTGTTCCGAACGTGTCAGTCAGCTGCCGTCTGAGTGGGGCGCTGCCGTCTGTTTCCGACTGAGCTCAAAACCCAAAGTGCAAGACATTTGCTTGCTATGCAACACGAGCCTGTCCTTGTTTCTGCTGGCTGTGACCAAACACCACGACTGAACTGTTTCAAACAGGCTCAGAGCCCGGCCACAAATGAAGCTCAAGGTAACTTTAGGGGATTCCTCAAAAGGCAAAGCCCCAGCCCCAATTTAGAAGCCTAACTATTTTGGGGCAACAGCCACCCTGCAAAGGCTGCCCTGGGTCCTTGCCCACCCCTCACCCCACAGACTTATAACTTTCCAAGCCCAGATCTCGCCACCTACAGTGGGTCTCTCTCACTCATTCACTCAGCAGATAATTATGAAGTACCTATGACATGCTGGCAATGCTGTGGATACTGGGGATACAGTGGCTAACAGAGAGGAGATAACCATTTAATAAGTAAGTAAATCACACAGGTCTATCAGATACAACAGAGGAAAGGAGACAGGTCGAGCTTAAATGAGCAGCTCGAGAAAGGCCTTGCTGACATGCTGACACCTGACTGAAGGCCTAGGTGAGGGGCGTGAGCTCTGCCACGTGGCGGGCACTCAGACAGAGGGAGCAAGAGCCAAGAGGAAGCAGAGCCGGGGCATGCCAGGGGCCACAGAGAGGCGGGAGGGGAGGGCAGAAAGGGACTGGGGCCGTATCACATGGGGCCTTGAGGACCACTACGGGGACCTGAGCTTTTTACTGACTGAAATGGGATGTTTTGAGTGTAAGAGGGAGAAGATATTTTAACTTGGGCTTGAACATAATCTCTCTGTTAAGTGATAAGATAAAGCAGGAGACTAAATGGGTGCCCTGGTGGCATAGTGCCTAACGCATCTGACTACTAACCAGAAGGCTGGCGGGTCAAACCCACTAGCCACTCCTCGGAAGGCAGGTTGGGCAATCTACTTCCAAAGCGATTTGGCCTTGGAAACCGAAGGAGGGGTTGCCATGAGTCAGATCCAACTCGACAGCAGTGAGCTTGGTTTTCAGTTTTAGGATCAAGATGGGAGTGTGAGACACGGGCCAGCACCTGGCCAGCCAGAGCCAGGCCCCATCGCCAAAGTGTCCTGGTCTGGGGGTTTCTCTGCACTATCTCCAATCCTCAACTCTGCCAAAGGGTGTCACCTCCACTTTACAAAGAGGAGAACCGGGGCTCAGAGACAAGTATGAGCCTGAACAACCGATGGCGGTTTGGGAAGCAGAACTGGAGTGCACGCTCCTCACGACAGGTTCTCCCTGGTTTCCTATGTCCACGTGCAAAGTGGGGCCTCTGAGGTAGGGCCTCTCATGTCAGGACCCGCATCACCGCACTGCTCAAATCATGGGACCGCCTCCTCCATCTCGCAGGGATGCCCGTCACAGGGATCACCGTCAGGTCACTGCTGTGAGCTCAGCCCAGGCTGAGTGCCGAGACGCTCGGCACACAGAAGT